TATTTATTATTATATATATATATATATATATATATATATATATTATATATATATATATATATATATATATATATACATACACACACATATATATATATATATATATATATATATATATGATGAGGTCGTGGTTGCCGTGTATCCCGTTTGTTGTCTGCGTCCTTAAAAAAATACTATTGCCTGTATAGTGTTTGTTTTTGTGCTGTTTGTAAGTGTGTGTGTGCGCATGCATACTGAATTCGAAGTTCTACAATGACTTGTATACGCACGTCCATATCCATGCAAGCGATTGTTGTTGTGTTGAGGCGGTGTGTACGAGAATGTTAGAAGTCGAGCGTATCTTGTTGTAATACCGTGAGAACCACATGATGTCTGCTTGTGAGAGAACGCACCTCAATTGTACGAGCGCATGCTTTTGCTTTTACATTCAACACAACATACATATGCATAAGCATTGGAGAACCACATGATGTCTGCTTGTGAGAGAACACACCTTAATTGTACGAGCACATGCTTTTGCACTTACATTCAACACAACATACATATGCATTATCATTGTATTCGTATGTAGCCTTGTTACTCTTGAGACCATCGCGAAATAGAACGTTCTATCACATATGATGCGTATTGGATGCCATAAGGGTTACATAGCATGTGGCTCAACTTATCACTGTTCACCACAACATAGGTCAAACATGATCTGGTCACGTGCTGCTTTTCACTGTGTGAGTTGCCTTCACTGGAGGCACGCAAACAGGCGGTAGAGAATCTCTGGTCTCAAACCGATCAGTATCTGGTATGGGCATGTGTCTGGGTGGAGCGTGCGTGTATGGGTGTGTACGTTTGTGGCATGAGGTAGGTTTAAAATCATGTGTTTGTTCGTTTAACATTGTGTTCATAGGTATATATGTGTACAAATCGAGGTGTCTGGTCTCCGAAGGAAGGATGGCGCTGGACAGCCTTGTCTGTATGAAATACATTCCGCTGCTCTTTGGAACAAATACTTCATCCGTGTTGTTTTTGATGTTTTTCTTCTTCTTTTAGGGTTTAGTGTTCAGTGTTCTATATTTCTCGCGCAAGTACAGTACAGTCGCACGTCTCTCTGTAGGTATGACTCTCTGTGTATGTATGACTCTCTGTATGTATGTCTCTCTGTAGGTATGACTCTGTGTAGGTATGCCTCTCTGTAGGTACGACTCTCTGTAGGTATGACTCGCTGTAGGTATGGCTCTCTGCAGGCATGACTCTCTGTAGGCATGACTGTATATCTGAGTGACCAAGCGTGATGTACAATGACGCACAACTGGAGACACTTTGTACCGCACTGCCCACATAGTTTCTGATTTGCTGCAGGTGATTGTTGAACCAGGCACACAAGAAGGTTTCCGGAACATTCGCGAGGCCCGTAAGTGGATCATAGGCGAAGCGGACGCCGAATTGATCGCCCCTGTATGTATTTGCGATCGATGAACTGTTGTATTGCTATGTAAACGATCCCAAGTATTGGGTTTTCAATGCTTTAGCATAGTGTTGTATTCTTTGTATATGATCTCGAGTATTGGGTGTTCAGTGCTTGAATCTGCCTGTCAATACATTGAAACGGCGTTTCGAACGCGTGGTTGCCATTCGACACCAAAGTGTATCAGAAGTATATCATATACAACGCATTCTTCACCAATACGTGCAAGTGAATACGATTGAGGCGTACGTGAACGCATACGCCTGCGCACACGAGAAGCTCTCTGGTACACGCAACCAAAGATGCGCTGACTGTCATTTGCTCATACTGTGTGTGCTTGTGTGATTGGCACAAAGTGTGTGTGTGTGTCCTGATAGGAACACATTGGTCTGCAAACACGTCAGGTGCAGAAACCATGTTTATCAAAAAACCATGTTTATCAAACGTCTCGACGGCGTGTCTCCACCGCTACTGTCTTTATTGCCTTATAGTATTTAGTCTTTGCGCTGTGTTGGCTCTGGTTCTTTGCATCATTCGTTGCCCAGTTCGATGATCATGTGGTGCATACCACTCACCGGTCCTACTTTGTAGGACGACTGCAGAGACAACTCAGCTCTGTTCGTGTGTATAGTTACATTGTTCTAATTTTAGTATCCATCTATAAGTTCGCATCGGACAAGCAGGATCTGCCATTTATGTCGGCCTTGGTTACGTGCTCGCCTACTGACTTGTACTGTGGACCGGTTGTTCGCTCGAGAATAAGACTCGGGAATAAGACGAAATTGAATGTTCTGCTTTCCCTTACCTCTCATAGTTAAGATTTAACTCTTGTCCATCCGTACGCATTTATTATTCTTTCATTAGTTTCTAACCAAATCTGAGAACTTCTGAGATGCTCGGTTCAGTATATGTATATCTCCTTGATATATATGTATATGTATATGTACGTATATGTATATGTACAGCCCTTCTATATGTATATGTATATGTACGTATATGTATATGTACAGCCCTTCTATATATATATGTATATGTACGTATATGTATATGTACGTATATGTATATGTACAGCCCTTCTATATATATATGTGTATGACGTATATATACACGTACAACTCTTCGATATATATGTATATGCACGTATATTTATATACACAGCTTGCTCACACCTCCTACCATCCTAGTACTAACCCGTCTTATTGTGACCCGAATCTCTTACTCATGTACGGCTGTTGCATCATACAGTGTCCGCATGACGATGACTGCCCCATGGAGGCGAACGAAAAGGTCTGCAAGTTCCCACAGCGTGTGCTGTATTCGCGCGCTCAGCAGGAGGTATGTGATTATGCCTGGAGGCGCTTTGGCATAGGGTTTTAGGGTTGGGCTGTAGGTATATGCATACAGAGTGTTGCTGTACAACTGTCGTGCAATGGTACACTCACTTCCGCTTCTGACAACACACAACAAGCATCGAGCTTGAGTGCGAGTTTATTTGTCTATCACAGACACTTTCCGCTGCTGCGTCTCCGCGTGTCTGTACTTGTCTGCACGTGTGTGTACGTGTATGTGCGCGTCTGTACGTGTATGTACGTGTCTGTATGTGCCGGTGCGAGTCTGTACGTGTCCTGTGTGTGTCGTTGCGTGTCTATATGCCTCTGTGCGTACCTGTACGTGTCTGTTTGTGTCCGTACGTGTCTGTACGCGTCTGTGCGTGCCTTGGCGAGTGTATGTACGTGTTCTGTGCGTGTCTGTGCGTACCCGTACGTGTCTGTACGCGTCTGTACGTGTTTGTTTGTGTCTGTGCGTGTCTTGGCGAGTCTGTGAGTGTATGTGAGTGTATGTACGCGTCTGTGCGTGTCTTGGCGAGTCTGTGCGTGTCCTGTGTGTGTCGTTGCGTGTCTGTGAGTGTCTGTACGTGTCCTGTGTGTGTCGTTGCGTGTCTGTGCATGTTTGTACGCGTCTGTGCGTGTCTGTACGTGTATGTGCGTATCTGTACGTGTTTGTGTTTGTGCGTGTCTGTGAGTGTATGTACGTGTCTGTGCCTGTTTGTTCGTGTCCTGTGCGTACCTGTACGTTTCTGTACGCCTCTGTGCGTGTCTGTACCTGTCTGTGCGTGTCTGTGTATGTGTGTACGTGTTTATGCTTGTGTGTGCGTGTCCTGTGTGTGTCGTTGCGTTTCTGTACGTGTATGTGTGTCTCTGCGCGTGTATGTACGCGTCTGTGCGTGTCTGTACCTGTCTGTGTGTGTATGTACGTGTTTGTTCTTGTGTGTGCGTGTCCTTGCGGGTCTTAGTGTGTCTGTGCGTTTCTGTACTTGTGTGTGCGTGTCCTGTGTGTATCGTTGCGTGTCTGTGCGTTTCTGTACGTATCTGTGTGTCTCTGCGCGTGTACGTACGTGTCTGTACGTGTCTGCGCGTGTATGTACGTGTTTGTTTGTGTC